AAAGAGAATGCCGCTTTATCTCTGAGGCGTCCCGCGGGGGGGGGGGGGACGGACAGGATGTGAACAACAACCAACAGAGGACAGAGAGCCAAGGCAAAGCAAAGATTAGCGTCAGACGTCCAGTGGTAAACAACAACAACATTACAGCAACATGAGAGACCACTAGGAGCTGTGGAGGAGGACGGGAGTGAGGATACGAGTCTCCAAACATGAAAGGGTGAATGAGGAGAAAAATAAATAAATGGTAAAGCAACAGAGACCCATCATCCTTTCAGTTCATTTATAAAGTGGGAACCTTTCTTCTGTTGGTGAGAATGGACCCCCCCTCCCTCCCCCTCCTCTATTTACGCAAATATCAGAAAATGCGAGCAGTCATATGTTGTGCATGTAAATTTACTCAGTGGGGAAACAAATGGTGCAACAAATAAAGAATAACTGCTGAAGAAGACAGGAGCCCACTTTATGAATGACGACATGATGAAAATTAAAAAACGGTGAACTATGGAGATAGAGATGGTGCCAGGGTAACCATTTGAAGCCAAATTAAAACTCATCTGTGATTGCACTGATTGATTGATGCTATGCTGTAAGGAAATATAACCAATGTGCAAAAACACAGCAAGACACAAACGAGCTGATCTCATTGGCTGCAAAGTGTCTAAATGTGAATAAAAAACTTTTGTGAATGCTGTTGGTCTGTGATCTCTGCGCGTGTGTGTGTGTGTGTGTGTGTGTGTGTGTGTGTGTGTGTGTGTGTGTGCGCGCGCACTCTAATGTGTCGACAGCCCTTACCTGTTCTGGTAGCTAAAGTAGGCGGCGTCCCGTTGGATGGTGCATAATTGTTTTCCATAGCAGCATAGAGTTTGAGGGGAAAACTCAAACTGCAAAAGAGACGAAAAGAAATGTTTGCAAACGGGTTATCTGAGGAAAACTGGAGATTAACTTAAGACAAACTCCTGGTTGGACATTTTGGGAAACACACTTATTCACTTCCTGGCAGCGAGTTAGATGAGAAGATTGGTATCACTCTCATATCTGTCAGTTCAATATAAGGCTACAGCTAGCGGCTTGTTGGCTGTAGCTGCATGTTTACCATACAGACAGGAGACTGTCCTCTCATCTAACTCTCAGCAAGAAGGCATTTCCCCAAATGTCAAACTGTTCCTTTACAACACAATCCTGACCGTAAATTAGCTCAATAAAGAAAAGGGAAAATGTCTTCACTGAAGGGAATACTTAGTCTCTCTACACCTGCACAGGCAGCATGAAATGTGAAACACCCGCTCCCACCTCACCTTCCTCCCACAACAGTATCCCAGGCCCTGCATGACGGGGTCGATCTCCGTCTCGAACACCTCCGCCAGCTTGGAGCAGTACTTGTAGACGCGGGACGTCTTGCGGTTGTACAGCCAGGCGTTGTTGAACATCAGCCAGATATCCTCGACATATTGCCAAGGCTCCTGGTACTGTCCTGTGTCCAGCTTCCGCTTGATGGTCGACAGGTCCATGGGGTTCTTCACAATGTCAAAGTAGTCCTGGTTCGGAGGGCGCCGTCCGGATTCGAGCGGCAGGTCAAGGGAAATTTGAGAAGGGTCAGAGGAGGGAGAGAGGAAAGAGTAGCAAGATGGTGGAACGGTTTGGCCGTCCGAGGGAGGAAGATGAGAGAGATAGGGAGGAAGAGTATCGTCATCGTTGTGGCCGTCAGGTGTGATGAAGGCGTCGCAGTCGACCGGGCGGGACCAGAGTAGTAGGGAGAGAAGAGGGTGCAGGGGGACAATGTTGTTGAGCGCTGCAGAGAAGAAGGTTCGTGTGCAAACAGAGAGACATGACAACTTCTGCCCTCCAGCTCTCTGCTTTGCACCCTACATTTAAAAATCAAGTCGGTCTCTGTGCTGCGCAGCAGGGACCAGGCAACCGCCACGAGTCCGTCCGGTCCTCTGCTGCTCATTTAACCACAGGCAAAGATTTAAAAACTAGCTACAGATGCATTTTATTTTATCGTATTGCAACTAAAGCCCGGCATTGTGATCCTGCGATCATCTTTTGCCAATTTGTGTTTAAAAAAAAAAAGTACATTTCCTCATTTTGCCACACAGGGATTAACACTGTTTGACAGCCAGGGGAAAAGTTCTCTGCAATCAAAGCTTTCAGGCCTTTGTAGCGATCAGGGTGCAAAACCAAGAAGAACAGAGCAGTGGCAACAGCAACAGGCAGACAAGAGATTTACTGTTTTTGGCAACATAGCGGTTGGCATTAACAACGGCAGCAGCATGAGCAGCAATATGATGACGGAGTTAAAGCCAACAGTGCTGAGGTGAAGCAAATGTAAGAGGGACGGATGAGTCTCCAAGTTGTTTTTCTGTTCGCGTCGTCTGCCCTCCACTTCTTCTCGAAACATAAACACTGTTTTGAAAAGGAGGAGCGGAGAGGAGGGCGAGGGAAAAGAAAGGCTTTTTGGAGATTCACCCAAAAAAAAAAAAAAAAAAAAAAAAGAGGAGGTGTGAGTTTCAAAGAGCAGGGTCCATCTCCGTGTCACCATGGCAACAAGAGTTAGGAAACAGACCCTCATCTCTGAATGGAACCACTCACATGAACAAACAAGTGATGCATATTACCACACCAACCTGCAGGGCCAAATTTATATCACAACAATTCAGCGCTTAAAAAAAGAAAGGGAAAAAAAGAAAAAAGAAAAAAGAAAAAAAATCCCACCAGTTTGTGAGTAACTTCCATTTTCAATAAGCGGCTGAATGTTTATCTGAAAATGGCGTCGTACAACTACACAACAGTGTAAAGTTGCATCACTTGACTGCGGAGGTTCCTGAAGGAGAGGTGAGCCAATAGCCTGGCGCTCGCTCATCACTGCTCTACGGGGGGAAAAAATGGCCGAGGCAGTGGGAGGACTGACACTATCACTTATCAATACAATCATGATTTGTACCTGTAGGGAGGTGAATATTTAGTCTTATCAACTACTTTTTTGTTCCTCTCCCCTAATTTGGATGCAGTGAGGGTAAAGGTATTGTCCCACCTCTACACACTGCCCACCTGAACACTGACACACTACTACTGGTGAGGAACTGAACTAGAAAGCTAGCAATGGAATAAAAAGGATGAACACTACAAAAAAAAAAATGATTGAAATGAAATGATTCAAATTAAAAAAAAACTGAAAACTTTATGACAAAAAGGGCAAAAGTCAAACAAATTAAAGTGATAAATGAAAGCAACTGGCTCATGAACCTCTGTTACGGTTTAAAGCAAATTATGATTCCCATTGAAATACAATGTGGTGACATTTGTTTTTGGAGCGTTAAAGACAAGCAGCCATTAATCAATTATGCAAAAATACTCTGATGGATGTTTGGGTCACCTAATATTGTGCGACTAAAACAATAAAGATTTTAAATGTTTTTTTTCTGCCTGGTTTGAATTTATCATTTACTTTTTGTGCTTCTCCTCCACAGTTCCATCAAAGCAAAGGCAAAGGTTCATGAGACTCATTGCTTTGATTTACAAATGACAAGAAGTTTCAGAAAAGAGAACACACACCCACACACACACACACTCATACACAAACAAACACACCCTCACAAACACACACTCTTAATTTCATTTTCTTAACTTCTGACATGCAATGGGAGAAAAATCAACTAAAAAAAGGTTAAAGTAACTGAAGCAGATATATAAAATAAATTCTGAAAGTATGACAACTATGACAAAGCAGAAAAAAATATTAAAGATGAAAAAAAGTAAAACAAACAATGGAAAAAAAAACAAAAAAAAAACTACGTTTTCAGAGGAGTTGAAGCAAAATGGCAGCCAGTGCAGTCCCTTACCAGGTTAGTTTTGTTACTAGTTCGAATACGTACGGGTATTCCCAGTAACTGGGGGTCCACCGGCTGACGGAAGGGAAGGGACTCAGGGTCCTGCCGGTACAAAGCTTCCAGGGTGGGCATCAGAGCCTGACGCAGCTCCTCCGGCTTAAAGACTGGAAAAGGGGGAGCAATAAAAAAAAAACGGATGAGAAATGAGAGAGCTTGAGAGATGGCAGGTAAAAGCAGGAAGAGAGGAAGAGAAAAAAAGAAAAAAAGTCTCTGCTGGACTTGAGGATGATCCGGCAGTGAGACTCCACTGACCGCATCACGCAGCATTGTGGCATTTAACGACACCTGCGGGACATCATCAGACAGAGGAGGATTCTGGGTACAGAAGCCGCGGTGGCAGCCCAGAGTCAATGTGATAAAACTGGTGCTTTTCTGGTCTTTTTAACGTCCAATCACGACTCCACCGGGGGAGCATGGGTGGCTTTTTTTGTTTTGTTTTGTCTAAAAAGATCTTTTTATTAGATATTCAACAAATGGACACAACACATGTTTGTGTAGTGTACAGTGGGTGCATCAGTGAATCGTTACATAACCAAAATGTGCAATTTGTACAGTGTCACACATGTATTTCAACTTTACAGCACATGTTCATATTAACCCCTTCAACCCTCGCCAGCCCAAGCCTCCTACACAGCCGAGAGAGGTGTGTCTGCAAAGGGGCAAAGAGTTTTACAGAGACCAGCTGGAAGTCTGGTTTTACATTTAGAAAAGAAAGAGAGAGAGGGAGATAAATCAATAACAAAAAGGAGGGGTTTCGAAATGGATTACCTTCTGCAGGCACGGGTAAAGGAAAAGTTACTGAAGGGGGAAAATATATCTCTAAACAAACACGCCCCCCCCCCCGACAGTTGGCAAGCTCTTTCACTTCTTCTTATTATTATTATTATCATTTTATTCAAAAAGATATATTTGTACCTCCAACCCTCGTCTCATATGCGTCTGCAAACACCTGATGTTTTGTGGTGACGTTTTGGTGAAATCAAAGTGAATATTGCGACACAGCTACGACAGTTTTCTCTCTTTTGGACTCTCCATTCTTTAAGTCTCAGTTCTTGTTATTAATGCTGCGTTTTCCTTTGTACACTTTTCTCAAGTGAGTCAAGATTCAAAACTTACTTTTCTTCTTGCTCTGAGCGCTGGCTGGGGAGCTGTTGGTGCCCGTTGACCCTGAACCCTCCTCTTCCTCTTTGGGCTCTTTCTTCACCTCCGGCTTCTTGTCTTCACCCGTTGCTACCGACGACGGCACCGAAGACGAAGATGTGTCCATGGGCTCGCCTTTACACCCGTCTCCAAACGACTTCTCTTTCTTTATCTGAGACGAAGATTTAAACGTCAGTGTAATGAATTCCTCATCAATGTGATTATTTATAAAAACCGAATTTAAGACCTAAATCACTATAATCAATCAAATAATCAATCAAATAATCAAACCTTCAGATCTTAAATACAGATTTTCACACCCTGAAGTGTCAGTAAGTCACCGTGGAGAGTCTCACCTCTGGTTTCTCCTCCGTCTTCACGTCAGGTTGACCTTTGCCCATCTTCCCCTTGCCCTCTCCTTGTGCGTCAGCCCCTTCGTCGTCCTCCTCCTGCTTCTTCACCTCCATTTTAACGTCTTCCTGGCTGGGGGCGGGGCCATCTGCCGGAGCGAGCTGGGAGCTGGGATCGGTACTGCTGTTGACCGAGGCCGGAGAGGATACCTGGCCATCTGCCGTCAGGGAAGGCTTCGCAGATAGCTGAGACAAAAGATCGGGGACAGATCGAGTGAGGTTTAAGAAATGGCAAGTTAAAATCCACAAACAGGAAACCTTTGCTTTTTGTTGCTTTTCAACGCCGCTAATCTATTTCAAGGACTTTTTAAAAACAAAAACAACTTACTACTTAAGTACGACTCAAACATGAGGTTTAAGAAAAATAAGTCTGTGCTGGGGAAAGTGGTGCAGGGTGATCTACTCACTGGGGTCTGGGGCAGCTGCAGCGGCACATGAGCATTCTGGTTGGGCACTGAAGAAGGCTGACCTGCTTGGGGGCCTGAGGAAGCCACGCCCCCAAGCGCCTGCTGTGGAAGCTGATTGGCCTTCTCCGAGTTCACCGTCTGCCCTGATGGCTGTTGCTGTGAAGCTTGTTGTTGCTGCTGTTGTTGTTGTTGTTGCTGCTGCTGCTGTTGTTGTTGTTGTTGCTGCTGCTGTTGTTGTTGTTGTTGTTGTTGTTGCTGCTGCTGTTGTTGTTGTTGTTGTTGTTGTTGTTGTTGTTGTTGTTGTTGTTGTTGCTGCTGCTGCTGCTGGGGGTGCTGCTGCTGTGGCAGCTGGGGTGTGCTGGGGGTCTGTGGCTGTGGGGTCTGCGAACGAGGTAACGTGGGGGGTGTTTGATGGGGCTGAGGCGTTAGGCTGCGTGCTGGTGACGGGGAGTTTGTTCGGATGGATGGGCAGTGAGGGTAGGAGTTGGGCTGGGTGGGGGTGGAGGATGGAGGCAGGCTGGGTAGAGGCCCAGTACCACTGGCACTACCAGACCCCATGGAGCCCCCGGGGGCTCCAGAGCCTGAAGCAGAAGAGTTGGACTGTGGTGCAGGGCTGCTGGCTGGGAGGGAAGGCGGTGTAGACATCTGGTTCTGCTGCAGAGGACAGGACACCAGTTAGGGAAAGAAGACAAGCAAAGAGTCCCTGCTTAAACTAACATCAATCCAGCAATACAGAACAACATAGGTCAGACTAATTACAGAGAAAGGTTTTACTAGGTATACAAACTCTGGAACTTACAACACTTTATTTCTAAATCAGTCTCTTAGAAACCTATTAAATGAATTCATTAAACATGGAGCGTGCCAAAGAGCACAAATAATCAGTCTTAAAAGTTCTGGATAGAGCCAATGAAAAACCATCTCTCACAGCAGTCATGAGTAATATGCCAAAATCCTGATGACAGTTCAGTTAATCATACAGTATTCATCACTACCCATCAATTCCTGCAGAGCTACTCTGAGAGTTGGTGTCTGTGTTCCTCCTCGTTTGCATTAATTTGGCAGGTTTCCCACATGCAACTGAAAATATGTTTGAATTTCATTATATCAAGAGATTCTGCAAAGATCCAAGTTCCCCTTTACAAATCCAATTCATCTGCTGTCACTCGATGCTCACCGGTGGCACTGCAGTCTGCGGCCCTGGCTGGTTCATGCCAACAGGACCAGAACCAAGTCCAGGACTGGACCCGGGAAACTGGCCCGGGGGGAGGTACTGGTTCTGTAGCTGTGTGGCATTGGGTTGGCCCATCCTTGTTGCACCCATACCCATCTGCCAACGAGACATTAAGGGACATGTGACATCTTGACATCATTACAGCCAACGGTCAAATACTAAACATGGTTCTTCTGTCTTTTCCGATTCTTTGCCATTTGTGTAACGCCCTCCGTTCAGTCAGTAACATCTTCTCAGAATCGATTGTGGGACATGATTTGACAGTGATACCAACCTGGTTCATTGGAGCATTAATAGGAAGAGGAGGTGTCGACCTCTGACCCATCGACTGCATCCCCATCTGACCAAACTGGTTCATTCCTGAACGTGAAGGAGGACAGAAAACAAGAGACGTCAGAATTGAATCAAACTATTTTTTGAACATCAGATTCGACTCGATTGTTAATGATCTTCCGGAATTCAAAATGCAAAGTGTGTGTGTGGATAACAGGCTGCGCTTGTATTCCAGTGAGGGAGGGGGCGCAGTATGACCCGTCGCTTTCCCTGTCGGCCAATCAGTAAACTTACAACGCTGCCGTTCTCTTCGCTGACGAAAAAATTGAGAAAAACTAGCGAGACTGCTGAACGTTTAATTGCGACAGTAAAAATGTGTGAGAGGTAACGTGTGGAAGCATTCTGTGGATTAAGGTAAGAATGTTTGTTCACTTAGTGAAAACACTGCGCTACAGCGACGTTAGTCAATGAACAAAACACAGCCAGAAAAAGGAGGTGAAAAACATGGTCAGGATGTTAAGCATGAACTGCGAGAGCTAAAGTGGCTAGCGGGCTAACCACAGGATTACACAGAGCTTTATCAAACACCTTCTCTCACTGCCGGGTCAAAATTCATACTTGTAACTTCAGCATCACACACACACACACACACACACACATTGTGGGAACGAAAAAAGCTGAGTTTTAACGCTGTTTCCTGGTTCCTGCTCTCAGGTGAATGAACACCCCTTCAGATGTCTCCGGCAGCTTGATCAGCTTTGAGCTTACTCTTCTTCACATTCCCAGGACGTCCTGTACACTCTTGGTAATTTGCATTTGTACTGACCTCAGAACTGGACGTGGTATTTAAATACATTTCTCCACGTCTGTTCACTCAACATGCCTTTGTAATAGTATCATGTACACGTACCTGCTGGGGTCTGCATCCTGTTGACCATCTGATTGGGTCCAGCTGGTCGGGCCATGGACGGATCAGCGTGAGGACCATCTGACAGGTTGATAAGAGTTACAGAAATGACAGAGCTCATCTTCAAAACCACAGATTACCAACAAGCCACGACTAAAAGATGTTTAAAGAATGAGAAAAGTGAGGCAAACAAACTTTATCACACAAGTGTATTAGACTGGTGGAGTGTGAACATGATTTCTCTCTTTTTCATCTAAGATTTGAAACTTCTGATCAGCTTTTACTGATCGACAAGTCGAGCTCAAACTCCTTTTTGTATTATTTGCATGCCAGCAGTATGTGTGTGTGCATTCATGTGTGTCTATGTAGGGAGGTCAAAACAGTATGTTTACTTACTTGGGGGTTGCCCCGGGGCCATGGGCGGCTGTCCCATGCTTGGAGGCCCCTGTGGGAGCCCTGAGGAGGGTAATCCAGTTTGGCCGGGCATCATGCCCTGCTTCTGGAGCCGTGTCCTCCTCTTTTCCTCCAGCTCCTTTTGGATCTTGTAGATCTTCTCCGCCAGCAGGTGGTAGTACTCCGCCTGGAAGGTGATGCAGCAGAAGGGAGGGAGAATGTTACAGGACACATCTGGATGAAATATATGCATTTTATTTCCTCCTCCTTAACTGGGAACTGATAGTGACGCCACATCACTTAATGCTCTGCGTTTTGTCGTTGGTTTCTTACCCTGCTGTTGGCTGACTCGTACATGTCCCCCTCTACTTTCCGAGCGTAAGCCACCAGGTTCTCCATCCGCCGGTCTTTCAGTGCAGCTGGGTCGGGAGTGGGGAAGATGGCCTGCACACTACTCCAGGACACACACATGCACAAACAGAAAGGACATAAAGCTGCAATTAACTTGAGGACAGAGGCGACCGATTGACACCCTGTGCTGAAAAACTAGCTGCTGCCCATAGTGAGATATTTTTTTGGGGCCACGTGCGAGACAAAGCAGACTCACAGTTTGTGGACAAGGTGGTTGCGGAGGTCCTGTGTGATGTCTTCATGCCAGGACTTCCTCATGCCTGCAGCAGAAGGAGGAGTCGCTGTGGGCATGGAGCCCAGGTTCCCCACACCATCACTCATCAAACTGAGGGAAACAAAAAGGACAAGAAGAATAACGAGGAGTGAGACTTCAGAAAGTCTGTTTCACGACAGCAGCCTGACTTAGGAAAAAGTAAACAGCTGTGATCAATTAAAAGCAGTCATACCTCTGTGCGTTCATGCTGTTGTGCAACATGGCGTCTGGCAGTAGGCTGGACTGCTGGTTGGGGGGCTGCACTCCCACTCCACCATTCACTCCCATGGAGTTTCCTCCTGCAAAGTGACAGTCAGAGAGTTTGAATGATATGTTTTTTTATTGGGAAACACAGACTGCTGCATCAGAGCGAGGTCAAGAACGAACACCCATGCTCAGTGATCCCAGGAGGTTAGCATATAATTTGTGACATGCACAGTGGCATTACAAACTAACCCATGGTGTTTAGAGTCCTCATCCCGGGCTGCCCCTGCAGCCCCTGGTTTGGCATGTTGGCCTGTGGTTGCTGCTGTGGCATCTGGTTGCCCTGGTAAGTGAGGCCCAGCGCAGCGTAGGCCCTCTCTATGGAGCTGGGGTCAATCTGGTTGGGAGGGTTCAGATTTGGAGTGTTGGACTGTCCACCCGGCACCCCTGAACCTAAAGAGTTCACCAAACCAACCCCTGCACTGTTGACAAGAGCTGTCGTGGGGAGGAGAGAGGGGAGAGGTGATAAAGGATGAGCATTTGTGGATTCAAGCCCACTGTTGTGCAATTTAAATGGCTAGTAACAGGGTTCTTTATCATTTCATGGTAGATCATAACTGATAACCATGAGTATGTATGCTACTCAAAAATAGACACACACACAGAGTCAGAAACACTCACACTGCTGGTTCCTCTTGTCTCCAGCGTTCTTCAGTGGCAGGCAAACAGGACAGTCGTGTCGCGTGCAGTTTTTCCAATGAGAGATGATCTGTCTGGATGAGGCACAGTGTGCCACTGTAGAGGAAGAGACGGAAATGGATAAAAGTTTGAGAAAGGGGAAGAGAAGTGAAAAAGAGAGAAGAGGGAGAATAAGTGAGAATGTGACAGAGTGAAAGAGTGAAAAACATGAGATGAGATGAAAGAGAAAAAGGAAGGAGAGAGAATAAGAAAGTTATCGTACGAGTCCTTCAGTATAAAAACACTATGTCCAGATGGCGACTCAATGAAAGTCGGAGCAAGGAAAAATGATAGTAGAACAGCCACCTAAAGAGAGAATAACTCATGTTGGTACAACGAAAAGCTGGGAGGCAAACCAAGGGGGGGATAAACAACAAACAAGAACAAGGCAAAAAAAAAAAAAAAGGAATTGCTGCAGATACATTATAACTTTACAACTTTAAACACTGCCTAGTGTTCATGATATAAACCACACACCATAAAACCAGCAATCAGCATAATTCAGCAGACTCACCCTGGCAGGACTTGCCAGCCTGGCAATGAGTCATGTGGTTGAGCACATTCTTCATGGTGCGGCAGTGCGGCAGGTTGCACTGCCGTACCTCGCCGTTGGCCTGCTCCCTCCGCTGGCACTTGTGCGCGTGGAGCAAGAGGACCAGCTGCTGTTGAATCAGCTTCCGCTTCTCGGGGTCCGCAGTAGGGGGCGCTGCGCCGGGACCCGCCCCTACGGCACTGAGCCCAACCTGGGCCCCTCCCACTGCTGCTGCTGCTGCTGCTCCGCCGACAGATACACCACCAACCGCTCCAGGTTGCTGCTGCTGAGAGGCCTTGAGACAGAGAGGAGAGAGAGGAGGCAGCGGCGAGCATTAGAGAACGATCAGGTGTGATGGGTCCACTTCAAAATGATCAATCTAGGAACAGATTGGCAGCTAACACATCCGATCAATTATCAATTTTTCCAAGACTTTGTTGAAATGTCCCCTCCCTGCTGTAGTAGTACACAGTCTGACCATGTGTAAAAAAAAAACTTAAATGTTTGTCTTAACATTTATTAGACGATAGATGAGGCGTTTACTGTCACGTAAAAAGGCTTTATTGATGACTTTAATCAAAAATTTGAAAAAGAAATACTTCAAGAATTAGAAGTAAATTAAGATTCAACAATCAAACACTCAAATGCTCCGTGAAGAAAGGAGCAAAAAGTCTATTTCACGAACATGGCTTCCAGCTACTCTGTAATTAAAAACAGGAAAACCATCTAAAGAATGAATGAGCCCCTTCTCTGTTGAAAAAAAAAGAAAAAAAAAAAAGATAAAGCCTGTATTTAATTAAAGCCAAATAGCAATAAGCAAAATAAACAACTCAAGCCTGTAATGGAACCATGATCTGTTGGCTACTGTTCGCTGCAGTGATTGGAGACTGATTGACGGATACTTCCATTAAGTCCACCTTTCGTAAGAATCATTGCCATTTGAGATATCGCATGTGACAGACGCACAAGGGAAACAAAAGAGGATGGAGAACATCCACCCGCTGATTTAATCAAGAGTTTATATGAGCTAAAAATAAAAAAAAATAAAAAAATAAAAAACCTAAGGGCGTTTCTTGTATCAAGGTCATGAATGTTTCTCCATACATTCACATACAGTTTACAGACTTCCACTGCAGGCGGACGGGGCAGTTCTGGTGCATTCTGTTGCTCTATAGCGTCACTTCAAAAGGAGTTCATTCCTCTGAGGTAACTGTAATTATGATTTAAGCGACTTCTTCATTAAAATGCCACACAAAGCAACCATGTCAATGGTGTTCCTCCTCGCCACCTGCGGAGTCGACTCAGGCTACTTCCCCTTTGAGAACTCGTAGTTCATCTGAAATATCTGTAAACCCACTGAAGATGATTTACCTACTGATTTGATTTCTTGCTGTCAATTTCAGATTGGTCTGTTCAAGTAATAAGCTGGAACGCTGTAACATACATCTGCACAACCCACGCCCTCCTTAGTGGAGGACAGGAAAATATGAACTCTTCTTATATTGGAAACAAACTGATGACCCCAACACTTAACCTCCCACAACTGCTAGGGCAGGAATTACACAATGGACCTCATGCAAACATTCACTCTCTTACTCAACTGCACAAACATAAATGTTGTTTCAACTTGACAGATGCCACCTCTTCATGAGTAGGTGCGCTCTCCTGAGATTTCATTACTTGCACTGACGATGCATCCATGTTACTACACAAGGCTGAATGTTTGAGTCACAAAAGTGTTACCGGAGCATAGCGAGAGAATTTCATGCTGGTAAACTTGAAGTCCTGCAGTCGGGATTTAGCAGATGAAAAACACAACAAATTCATCAGTGTCAGTCGTGGTGGGGACCTGATAAAACGACTACCGTCATCACAGAGCTGTACCGTGATGGACATTAAGAGGGAATTATCTGACAGGAAGTTAAATGCTGAAAAACGTCTTGCTAAAGGAAGTCGAGCCAGTAAACGGTGCCTGACAGTCATGCACATGATTGATTATTAGTGTTTGTCTGCACAGCGTTTACATCTTGTCAGTCTTCTGTTGGTAGAGAAACTGGTTCATCTGCCTCTTCCATTCCCTCACACACACACACACACACGCATGTACATGCACTTATAACAAGCTATCTGCTAAAGACTGATTCAGGTCTGCCAATAAGTCTTGCCCTTTATTTATCAGTGACCTGTGTGTGTGTGAGTCCCTTTGTTACCTTTGGATGTAAAAAGGAAAAGTGTGTAAAAAAGGTTCAATATGAGGAAGTGTGCAATTCTAAAATATGTGTATTTAGTTCTACTTTGAACCATTCAAGAGACTTCAGTTAAACAGCAAGGTTAATCTACAGTAATGTAAGAGGCCTCTGTGATGGCTACAGAGTTTATCCACCTGTATGGGACAGAAATAAAAATATCTTACCATCCCAGGCATGCCTTGACCCGGTGGCGCCTTCTTGTCCATGTTGAACTGACTGGCCATATTGTTGGGCAGGCCTGCCTTATTCTGGAGCTGTGGGCCCAGCCCTGCTCCAGGCAGCCCCTGGCCAGCAGACTGGCCGTACGGACCGCCATAGGGGCCCGCGTTGGCCATCATATTCATCTGGAAAGCAGGATTGGGGGGGGGGGGGGAAAAAAAAAAGGGGGG